GGGGGGGGGAGAAGGAGTTAGAAAGGTGGTGGGAGTCCCTCATATTTAAAGAGAGAATAGCAGGCGCAGTGCGTATTACGCACTTAAAAAATTGAGAAGGAACATTTGAATCACTCAGATACTCCTATCGCTTCCCATTCTGCCACGTCTGTACCCCCTGTTATTCTTTTCCCTTCTCAATATACAGCTGTCAAAATAAGTTTATATAAAAGCCGAAGACAGATGGAATAATATGTCATGCTTATCAAGTTGTTTTTCTTTTTTTTTATTGTCTGTTAGAGTCAATAAATTATTCAGCATCACTTTCATCACACTGCAGGTCAAAGTAGTAAAGAAATGTAATAATATCACCGGTCACTGTACATTCAACTAAATAAAATTGCAAAATGCACTCTTAAGCTGTTTTTCTCCTGTCAGCTGACTATAATTTGTCAGTGGCAGGTATCCTATATTTCACTAGGCTATTTATCGATGCATGCAGAAAACAATGAATTTGACTCCCGGGTGAGGAAGTTATTTAGTAAAATATCGTCGTCTGTCTGCTGGAATGATGTATCCCACTCCTGTTAAGTTCTTAATTGTGTCGAAGGGGGCGTAAAAATATAGTTTACGATCATCATCATCATTTGTTGCTTGTAAAGTTTTTGACTAAGACCCCCCCACACACACACACACACACACACACACACACACACACACACACACACACACACAAACACACACACGCACACACACATCTCTCACCAATCCCCATCCCCACTCCTAGAAATGTAATTCTTTCGTCCTAATCTAAAAAATAACCTAGTAGAAATCCAAATCGCTTTTGATTGGTCTAAATCCATAGCCTTCTAAAGTTCGTGCCTTCGTGCCCAACTCAAAATACCATTCGTGTTTGGATCTGTGAATATACTCAAAAAGAAATCTATTAAAAGCTATGATTTGTTCTTTGTACCTGCCTGATATTCAGAAGAAATGTACAGTAACAAAATATGTTAATTTGTTGTGTGTAGCCTCCAATAAATTATGGCCCTCTGTTTGCCAGTCCTGCCGAAGAACAATTAACACAGTAAGTTAGTAAGTTATATTATTTAGTCGAAAAAGCCTCGACAGCACAATACAAAGGACAATCACAGGTTTTCCCTTTTCACATACATCACAACAGAAGAAAAATAAAACACGCAATTCATTGCATTAATCACCTCAGTGATGTCTGTGTGTCAGCACAAGAGGGCTATTAAATGCCTCTCTCCTCAATAGTTCACATCACTTTGTTGTTGAAAAAGAGCAAGACCATAACTCTTCCCAGGGTGTCGGAGGTGTTCACAGATAATAAGGTAGGTGCGAACTCATCAACTTCAATAATCGTCAGGTTTTAATCATGTGAGCTGAACTTATTTTTCCGTGTAATTTCGAAATTGAATCTTGCCAAACTTTAGAGTTCATTACTTATGTATTTTGACCAGTCACTAAGAAAGGGATTTGTTTATGAGAACTCGATACTTTTTTTTCCTTGAAAGCTGGCAATGCCATAATTATAATTAATTATATTAACAAGGAAAACCAACAACACTTTTCATTTTCAGAACTTCCTACTCAGGAGCTCACCTTCATAATGTAAAGAATACTCCATGAATTAATTATAAACATGTTTCAAGTTTTTGCGATTAATTTCTCCAGCGCCATATCTGCACGTCAGTGATAATTTATTGCCAGGCTTGTCACACAGAATGAACTTGCCCATTGCTCGCCCAGTCTTTTTCTGAAGACAGCCTTGTCTTACAAACTTGCAGCTTGGTGGGTTTCCGGTTTATTTGATCTTTATACCTTGCCCTTCATTTCTCATGTCTGCCTTTCTCTCTTCAACCCCATCACCCAAACAAACAAACAAACAAAC